TTTTTTTTTTTCTTCCTGAAAACGATGGTTCCTGATGGCTGGCGGCCGTGGTCGCGAGTACAATCGATCGCGAAAACGCTCGCCTACGTCATTTCCCTGCCTCGCGGACGCGTATTTCCAACCGATAATACACAATAACGGAAAGTTTTTCCAATCAAACGAACTGCATCGATGATCGCTGTAGCCTTCGTTAATGTAAATCGGGCGACGGTGTTGCCACACGTCCACGAACACGATGAAAAATTGATACGGCAATTGAAACTGCGACCAAGCAGTACGTAAACGCTAATCGATGAAAACTGATGTATCGCAAACTGCAGTAAGCACTATGATCGTTCTGTTCGATCGAAGAGAATCTTTTAATCTCTCTCTCTCTCTCTCTCTCTCTCTCTCTCTCTCTCTCTCTCTCTCTCTCTCTCTCACTCTATACTTCGTGCCAAAATAAGTGTCCACATTATGTACTCTCATTATATTAAGGTCAAAAGAGACTCAATTGTCAAATGTTGCACAAACACAAATGGAGACTTTCGAGAAGAGTTAGGTTATATATTTAGTATTTTATATACTTAGATATCTTTAAATATCTAAGTTTACACTTAAATATCTTTTTTTTTTTTCTCTCTAAATTTAATAAAGAGATTTCACCAACTTCTTAATATTCTTTTCTTTTATTTTCTGGATTATTTTAACGAACTACTCCCACCGTTCCAAAATAAGTGTCCACATTATGTACTCTCATTATATTAAGGTCAAAAGAGACTCAATTGTCAAATGTTGCACAAACACAAATGGAGACTTTCGAGAAGAGTTAGGTTATATACTTAGTATTTTATATACTTAGATATCTTTAAATATCTAGGTTTACACTTAAATATCTTTTTTTTTTTCTTTTACTAAATTTAGTAAAGAGATTTCACCAACTTCTTGATATTCTTTTCTTTTATTTTCTGGGTTATTTTAACGAACTACTCCCACCGTTCCAAAATAAGTGTCCCATTTATACATTATAGTTGCTCCGAAATAAATGTCTACTTTTGATTTAATATTAACTTGTCATAATTTTATACATTTAAGTATTCTTAAGCTACGAACACGACAAAAAATTCAACTAATTATTAACTAATTATCTGTCGAGCAATTTTAACTGCTTTCTCACTACAAATGATATTTCTTGGTCCAGTCTCTCCTTGGCGAAACGTGGTAGCATATATTCATTTCCTTCTTTGTGAAGCAGCCGGGATGCTTTGTTTTCCTCCAGCAAGTAACGTTTCAGCGTATTTGAAACTCTTTTAATATAAAAAGGCTATATAGAAGCGTAGTTGAAACGCTTTTAATATAGCCTCCTCTCAAACCTCGATGAACAGTTTTTAATGACTCGCCAACTGAATTAGAAAGTTGTCGAAGGAACTACTTTTCAAGAAGACATTGCAAAACACCTTCTCCCTGTTCGTTAGTTAAATTTGGGTTCCCTTTGCGATATTCAAGTACAAACAGATATCTGAAAGTTATTAATAACGAGAAGGAGGAACTCCGATTAAATCCCAGAAAATTGAGGCGCAGATGCTCTCATTTAATTTGGAGCACGTCGCGTGAAACTTGGCGAGGTTTTCCAGTGGTAGCGAAGCATGATCTCGATTACCCACGCGCGATTGCGTGCAGGCAACGCGTAAAAAATATGTCGTACCATACGCCGACAAAAATACACGAGTTTGTCTCGATGTTCTGAATATCCAATTCCCTCGCGTCGCGTTCGCGCAAAAAGAAATCGTATTCACGTTTCATATTAACGTTTTTCCCAACGGTGCCTTTCTCCGAGAGAATTCGACACTTCCTACACACACACACACATATGCGCGAAATCTTTGTTTACTCTTGTGCCCGCCATTCCCTTGAAATTTTATATCCGTGATATATATATTATTTAAAAAACAAATTTGATTTGCGAAAGGGTGAATTTGAATACGACAATTTATAATAAGGTGAACGGTGATTAATTTGAAGTGCACGAGGAGGGGAGAGATTCAAGGATGGTTCGAAGAATCGAACTGTTATAATTTGAAAACGAGGTTTAAAACAAGAACTTTATGAAGCTTCTATCTTCACAATCTTGGATTCATTTTTCACAAATATGCTTTTACATTTCGTGGGAAGTGCAAAGTGGGAATGCAAAGAAACCGTTTTCCGCTTGAAATGCTAAAAAATTGAAAATATAATCTCGAAAGTGTATTGAAGTCTCTCGAAATATTGAAAAAATTTTTTCACGAGAATCCACCATAAATTTGAGGATTGAAATTTTCCCTTTACAACGACCCTTTAAAATTTCCTGACGACAATTTCAAGCCGTTGTAATAAAAATGAAACTCGATGCACAATTATTATTACAAAATAAACATTCTACTGCACGTATGTAATACTGCACACGCATAAATAAACAAAAGAGAATAACGCGAAATGACATGAAATTGACAGGAAATACTTATTTAAAGATGAAAGTGTTTATATACACACGGTACATAATGTAGATTCACCCATAACGATTCGCCCGATACTATCTTGCGAGGGGTAGTATATGAATACATACATATTCATATAATAATTACGACAATCTGTGGGAGTGATAGTGGCAACAGGATGATTGATAACATCCACTAAACGTTTCATGAGTTTGCACAATGTATCGATCGAGTCAAGGTATCAATTAGTCCCCTTTCGAGTGCTGCACAAAAGACGACAAAATGGCATTGTGTCGCTTCACTTTTGAGTCGTTCAAGTCAAGGCAAATTTGATTTTGCAAGAAGGTGAATTTGATCTGCAAAAGAATTGATTTGGAGCGGGAAACGACTGTATAAACGAGTGTCAAAAAGAAAATATAGATACCAATTAAATATAGATGGCTTCTATGCTATTCTCGTATATTTTTGATTATTCAAATAACAATATAGTAATAATATAATATATATATTATATTTTATGTTATGTTATGCAATACATTATATATTATTAATATTGTATAATATATTATATATTATATTATATGTTATGTTATGTTATGTAATATATTATATATTATTAATATTATATTATATATTATATTATGTAATAATATAATATATATATTATATTACATGTTATGTTATGTAATATATTATATATTATATAATATATATATTATTAATATTGTATAATATATTATGTATTATATTATGTAATATAGTAACAATATAATAATAATACATTACAAATATGGTATACAATTTTTTCCTTATTTTGTTTTACGTAAAATTAACCTCTGGCTACGATTTTTCACCCACCCTGTATAATACAATTGAGATGTAATCTTAAACAGTTTTGTAAACAAAACAGAAAAATTAATCTTCTAGCCGACTGCGCGATGTAAAATCATCTTCGAAAGAAAATTCGATCAAATCACGACCATCAATGCAGAAGCTTCGCTCTTTAAACCAAAAGCGAATCGTCATATGTTCTTATAAGATCTCTCTCATCTATGATCTTTTTTTTTTTACAAAGTTGTATCGATTTAAATCATTCACAATTTCTCATCGTCATTGGTGCAATTACACTCTCACGACTGTACTTCATACGATACTCCGATCGAGATTTGCTTCCTTCTAATTACAATTCCTTCTAATTCCCGTTTTGCAATACGGTTTCATAGCATTTTGAAGTTTTTTTTTTTTTCTTTTCTTTTCATCCTCGCGAAACACGTGTTGCAAGCTGACAAACGATGGATCGTTGCAACACTAGCGTGGTCGTTCACTTAGAACAAATGAAAACGATTTCGTTTCAGCTGGAGGCGTGCGGCCGGCTCGTGTGCTGCGCGCAGAGGCTGTGCAGAAGCGGAAGTGCACCAGAGGAGGCCGAGCAACGAATCAATCGAGGTCGAAGAGGAGCACAGGCGGGCCCCGAATTGGAGGGGCCGTCAGGCTCGGAGGATGGCATCCTTCCGATCCCAGTCAGCCCTAGCCCAGCGTCCACGTCCTCGCAGGAGGATGCCTGCAAACCACCCCCGCGTAACTGCTACCGCCTGGTTATGCTCGGCAGCGCAAGGGTCGGCAAAACCGCCATTGTAGCACGGTAAATCGTCATCTTTGCTTCTCGCCGCTACGTAATCGCGTCCAAATAAGCCCCCAATATCGACTGCCTTTCCTTCCTTTTCTCTTTTTCTATTCGTATTTCTAAACTGAACACGGTTGTTTTTTTCTTTGGAACACAGCTGTTCCGCTGCTTTATAATGAGCGAGGTTTGTACAGTAGCGCCCTCTACAAGAGGGCGAGATATACGTTCCGAATTCAAGAGCACAGAAAACTATAATTCTTTCTTAATGTGACAAAATAACATGCATTTTATTTCATTTCGAAACAACAGGAACGTAAATTCTTTCTCACTTCGGAGTAACTTCAGTCTAAAATCTTAACCTCTTGCGCTGGCAACTGACTTGCGGACCGTAACGAGTGACCAAACCGTATACAATAATTGCGATACAATATTATTAGTATACAATGATTCGTCTTCTTTTTGAATTCATCGGTATATCACTGGATAGAAATTACTAATAAGTAATAAATTTATTTATTTTCTTTTTTTTTTGCCTGAGTTGTATTTCAATATACTTGAAAACTGAGAAAACATTGCAATTTTGGGCGAAATATTCTCGACATGTTAAAATTAAGGTCCATCAGCCTCTTCGTCGGTCGAAACTTCTTTAGCTTCAGAATTTTCAGAATTTGTCTGTTTCTTTACTTAATAATGTGTCTTCTTGCATTATTCTCTCAAGAAGGATTCCGCTTATATAATTTATATAATTTTCCAAAGTCTTCTAAAATCCCGGAGCTGAACAATTTTGCAATTTTCTTTCAAATTCAACAAAACGATCCGTTAAAAACGTCACTATTAGTAAAGTAACTCTCCAAGTTTTTTTTTTTTGCTAATTCCGGCGCCTCGTTTAAACTATCTAAAACGAAAATTACCAGATTCATTCATCATTTATTCTATCGCACAAGAGTTAATTCAAAATTGTGTGTCGCAACGCACATACTTTCATATCAGAATTTTTCAATCGCGTTACACAGAGGGCAGTTTTCGGTCGCAATTTTTAGATCCCGCGTTATGGGATTCTACTGTGTTAACCTTTCGGGGATAGAGCCGAACTACAGAGGCAGGGTTAGGAAATTCAAATGAAGGCAACTTTGTTGAGGCAACTCGAAAGAAACTGTTCAAGAGAGAATGAAAATGGTGGAGAGTTAATCGGACTTAATTCAGCGGTTTACCGTTTACCGAGGGACGGTATTTCGAAGATAAATGTGAACCTCCGCGGTTTTATTCTTCCTTGCGTTTAATCGCTAAGCGAAGAACTGTTCCAAGTGGTTTTTGATCGTTAATCCCGGACGCCTCGAGAATGGGAAGGGTGGCCGGAGAGAATTGGACTTAATTCAGCGGCTCGCTAAGACCGTGTTTCGAAGATGAATGTGACAACTTTCGCGGTTGTATTCTTCTCGCGATAAATCGCGTTAAATGGAAACTTATTGCTAGTTCCAAATGATCTTTGATCGTCAATTTCGAGATTTGTTGACTGGATCTGTTCGTGGATTACATATCGACGAGAATCTTCGTAAATTTAAAGCGAATCGGGCGAGTTTCGTCGATAAAACCGTTTTTTCCCTTTCCCCGTACGGCCTTGTATTTTTCATCGGTGTGTCACTTTCGGCTTATCGTTATTTCGACGAAAGCTCGACGTCGAGTGATGACAATACACCTGCTCTGTCAATGTCTCATCGTTAATTCATCGCTCGTCTATTTCTTTTTTTTTTTTCTTTTTTTAAATTTAAGCATTGCACGGCTGAAAAGGGAAGAATTGAAAGTTCGACTCTCTGGCGATAGATCTCTTTTCAGGTTTATAGGCGGACTGCACCTATAGTTTGTTCTGCAGCTGAGCTTAAAACTTTCGGCAAATACGAGCGATATATCGCGTTCGCGGCGCCCGGAAGTTTCAACACCGAAGGGATTAAGGCAGCGTGGTCACGTTACACGGCGCCGTTGGGAATCGGCCTGCTCGTTAAAAATATTCCAGCAGAGGCGGAAACGAGGATTACCCGCGACGGTCTGCCGAGTAATTTGCCCGCGGCCGTAAATTTGCAAACTTGTTGAACGACGTAACGTTCAAAGAACGAACGTAACGCGTCCGCTCGGCAGATATTTGCGCTAGCAACTGATTGCGGACCATAACGAGTGACCGAACCGTAAATAATTCGTCGCTTTCATTTCGAACTCATCGGTACGATATCACTGGATAGAAATTATTGATTAGTAATGAATTCATTATTTGTTTTGCCGGCGATATACTCAGATATACTTAAAACTGAGGAAATATTACAATTTTGGTACAAAAGGTTCTTGACGCGCATGGCACGTCGTTCGAGCGCAAGTGGTTAACCTCTTGCGCTGGAAAGTGATTGCGGACCATAACGAGTGACCGAACCGTGTACAATAATTTGTCGCTTCCTTTTTGAACCCGTCGGCATGATCTCACTGGATAGAAATTATTGAGAATTAATAAATTTATTATTTGCCTTGCGTGGGTTATACTTAAATATACTTAAAACTGAGAAAATATTGCAATATTTGGGATGAAAAGTTCTCGACGTGTGTGGCACGTTATTCCAGCGCAAGAGATTAACCACTGGCAGCTGGCAACTGATTGCGGACCATAACGAGTGACCGAGCCGTACACAATAATTCGTCGCTTTCTTTTCCTTTTCAACTCGTCGGTACGATATCACTGGATAGAAATCATTGATTAGTAATAAATTTATTATTTGTTTTGTCTGAGTTATACTTAAATACACTTAAAACTGTGAAAATATTGCAATTTTGAAATAAAAAATGCTCGACATGCGTGGCACGTCATTGCAGCGCAAGAGGTTAACCACTTGCACCGGCAACTGATTGCGGACCATAACGAGTGACCGAGCCGTACACAATAATTCGTCGCTTTCTTTTCCTTTTCAACTCGTCGGTACGATATCACTGGATAGAAATCATTGATTAGTAATAAATTTATTATTTGTTTTGTCTGAGTTATACTTAAATACACTTAAAACTGTGAAAATATTGCAATTTTGAAATAAAAAATGCTCGACATGCGTGGCACGTCATTGCAGCGCAAGAGGTTAACCACTTGCACCGGCAACTGATTGCGGACCATAACGAGTGACCGAGCCGTACACAATAATTCGTCGCTTTCTTTTCCTTTTCAACTCGTCGGTACGATATCACTGGATAGAAATCATTGATTAGTAATAAATTTATTATTTGTTTTGTCTGAGTTATATTTAAATATAATTGAAACTGAGTAAATGTTGCAATTTGGGACAAAAAATTCTCGACGCGTGTGGCACGTCAATTCCCGCGCAAGAGGTTAACGTAAAGGGGGGCGGGGAAAAAGTATGTTTGAGACAATGTTTGAGACACTTCGCCGCAACAGCGATCGACGAGACGCAAACTTCGTCGTTATTGGCTCGGCCCGAAAACCAAAAAGCTTTTAACCAGGCCGATATATTTTTAACTCGCGGCGAGAAAATGGACAAGCTGACACACATGGGAACACGTCACTGACTCGCTGCAGCATGACCGCTTCTCCCGATTGAATCCCGATCGAGTCGGAAATCCAAAGTATTCCGGTCGAATCCAAAATATTTCACGGTATTTTCCACGAGGCGGCACCTCGACATTCGCAAACAATAATGGTGAAATTCGTTTCTGAACAACCTCGTGTCTCCTTGAATTCGATTCAGCCGGAAACGAGTTCACGATCACGACAAGAATAACCATAATGGATAATAATGCGTATTGCCCCTAATTTTCACGTATTTTCACGGCCGCGTGCGCCTGCGGCCTCGCGTGGTTGCCGTTTCGCGTTCAATTTCTAATCGTTCCATCGCCTGTTCATCTTATTACGTATTTTACGATACGAAACTTTACGATACGTTGTTTGACCGGTTTTTTTTTTTTGGAAGAAATACACATTTTCAATTTATTGCTAGGAAATAATGCGCGACATCGCTTTTAAATAATAACAAAACAATCACATATTTTTATTTTTATATTGAACATAAACAGGAAATGACGGGAGCATACTTTATTTCATTATAATGCCTATTCTCATCGTAATCGGTAAAATGATCGAAAAAATATTAAAAACAGTTGTTTTTAACAATTTATTCTATTTGGTCCGTCTTATAAAAAATTATGTTAATTACTAGTTAGGAACTTTTACCGGATTTCTAAAAAGTTTGAATTATTTTAAAGTGTATAAAATTAAGATATGATTATTACTATTAAGATATGATTAATACTTAATTATATATATACATAATAGAACAAAAATCGCAAATAAAACATTTGTCACCGGAAATGCATTAATTTACTAAACATTAAATATTTATACTTCAATAGAAGATAGAAAAGCGAAAAAGGTATCACAATAATTTACAAGGACTATGAAATATTAGAATACAAATGGACTCCTGGAATGTGAAAACACTAAGAAACAATCACGTCTCCTTTTTGTTCAAAAATCCTTTAACCTGCTTCCAAATGACCTTCGCACTTTGAAGCTGACGTTATCGAGAAAAATCAAAAAATTTTTTACCAACCTCAATGTTACAAATATAATGCCATAAATCAGTTACATATCGGGAAGCTGTTGTTTTAGAAGAACTATAGTTTTACCCTATTTTCCCCTGCCTATTTCGTCGACACGCGCACACGTTTCACGATTCTTTCGTTGAAATCATCATCGGGCGCCATTGTAACATGGAAAAATTTCCATCGATAAACGAACGCGCTGGAAAACGCTGGACAACGCGAAGAAAACTCGTGGAAACGAATCCGAAACGTTCCGCGCGATCGGGCGGGATACGTTTTTTTCACTCACCCCCGTCGCTAATAGAACAAACGATTTAATTCCGTTCGAAATATAATCCACGTTGCCTGACACTGTTATAAAAGCCGACGTTCGTTCGTTCGAACGCATTTTGATCGAAAGAATTCAACGTTCGGAGAGGGAAAATTTCGCTGCGAGCAAAATGGTTTTTTCTTTTTTTTTTTAATAAATTCTAAATCAATTGCTTTTGCTTGCAGTATAATCTCGCGTGTGTTTCGCGTTCTGACGAATTTATAAAACAAATTTTCTGCTCCGACGGAATATCAGTTGGCTATTGTAACGATAAAGCCTAAAGCGGTAAAATCTCGCTGCAGATTTCTGTCCAACAAATTCGACGAGTGTTACACGCCGACGATCGAGGACTTCCACCGGAAGCTGTACAGGATTAAAGGCGAGGTGCATCAGCTCGATCTCCTGGACACCAGCGGGAACCATCCGTTCCCTGCCATGCGGCGATTATCCTTCCTAACAGGTGAGTGATAGTAATTGGAAAAAAAAAAGAAAAAAAAAACGCCCGTGTAAATCTGCTCAATTAAAGAGATTCGAAGAGACAGAGCAACAGTGCATGTACAGGGTGTTTAAAAAAAAAAAGGTTGGCATCAAACGACAAAGTAAAAGGTCTTAAAGGTTAAAGGACAAAATGATCAATTTTTAAATTTTCGTCAGACGTTTTATGTGGTGTAAAATAGTGTGTTTTTTTAAAGATATATATCATTTTTCATAAAATATATAAATAACCACCTGTATACTCTCCATTGTATTATAAAGTTTCTTTATTTTTTGGACTTCAGTGTCTCTAATGCTTTAATCGTCGATAATGTTAATAAATGTGAGCCTAAAAACCATTTTTTTTATCAGCTCGGCCGAAAACTGACTACGTTCTTTCGTGCAAAGTGAATTTTTAATATATTAAAATATAAATATATTAATATATTATAATAATATAAAACATAAATATTTTTAATATATTAAAATATATAAAAGTGAATTTTATATATTTTATATATAAATAAAACTTTATTAATATATTGATCCATTTTATCCCTTTGATTACCTTTTACCATCTTTCAGGCAATTTTACGATTCCGCGTTGCAAAAACAAAATTCAAAGTCAAGATCAATTTTGCAACAGGCTCTTCACATGTATTTCCATCAAACCGTAGGTGTAGAATTCATCCATGATTCAGCCACGAACAAACTTTTCTTTCCACCCTGTACATGTTTCTGAGATCACATTGTACATGTGTATACATATTTTTGAGATCACACGATCCGAGAAGGAGCAAATATTTTGCACCAATCGACATCAGACGTGCCCAAACACAAGTAACACGTCGTTGAGACGGCTTCAATTAGATAGATATACATACATATGTAGATTAGCGAGAAACAGTGATGATGACTGAGTGACAACGTCACGCGAATACAAGCAAATAGCTTCCGCCCTGAAGGAGGATGAGGTTTACGATCGAATCGAAGGACTATGTTCACTCGCGAGATTGTGGCAAGCTTACGAACAGTTTGATGGAGTAGACCAATCTCCTCAACAAAGAACAGATGCAAAAAAAGATAGGAGACACAGCGAGGAAGATTAATCCACGTTAATAATTCTTCACACGTTCGATAACATTTGAATTTTTTTCCTGTTATACAGGATGGGCCAAAAGTTTCTTTCCAGCTATTTTTTTTTTTTTTTTAATATCAAAATATAAAAAAAGAAATAATTAAATTAAATTTTTATTTTAATACGAAGTGACCCACCCTATATTATATTATAACCCCTTGCGCTAGCAACTGATTGCGGACCATAACGAGTGACCGAACCGTATACAATAATTCGTTTTCTTCGTTATATCACTGGATAGAAATTATTGAGAATTAATAAGTTTATTATTTGTCTTGCGTGGGTTATACTTAAATATACTTAAAACTGAGAAAATGTTGTAATTTGGGACAAAAAGTTCTTGGCACGTCCGTGGCACGTCATTCCAGCGCAAGAGGTTAACATCGACAATTACCAATCAAAAGGATACTTTTTTGAAAATTTATATTTATGCAAAATTTCATGAAAATCGTATATTTCCTTATAAGTGGTAAATCCCATCAATTTACGCAAAAACTATACCTTCAGTATTTTCCGAGATATTCGACACAATATAATAAAACCCGGACCCCCAACTTTGAGGTTAGTTTAAACCACTTGCACTGGCAACTGATTGCGGACCATAACGAGTGACCAACACCGTATACATTAATTCGTCGCTTTCTTTTTGAACCCGTCGGTATGATATCACTGGATAGAAATTATTGATTAGTAATAAATTTATTAGTAATAAATTTTTGTCTGGGTTATACTTAAATATATTTAAAATTGAGAAAATATTGCAATTTTGGGACAAAAAGTTCTCAACGTGCTTGGCAAGAGGTTAACTACAGATTGCGGACCATAACGAGTGACCGAACCGTATACAATAATTCGTCGCTTTCGTTTTGAACCCGTCGGTATGATGTCACTGGAATTATTGAGAAATAATAAATTTATTATTTGTTTTGCCTGGGTTATACTTAAATATACTTAAAACTGAGAAAATGTTGCAATTTTGGGACAAAAAGTTCTCGACGTGCGTGGCACGTCATTGCAGCTGCAAGAGGTTAAGCACTAAAAGACGCGTTTCAACTCGGACTAGAACCTATTTATTTCAGAAAAATGTCACGTCACAGGTAAAGAACATTTAAACGCAAGAATTGTTAATTAAATAATTAAACACAAAAATTTAAATCACACAGGTCGCATCTGATTGTGACATTTAAATCGAATGCAATATTGCAATGTCGTTGAAACGGCTACAACGCGAAAATTCCAACGAATGAGTAGCAACACGGCGGGAAACAATCAGTTTCAAGCTTGTTGTATCTATTTGCAGCTTTCTTCGACAACGTGTTATCAATCGTGCTCGACTCGATCGAGAAAGGCCGCGAGCCTCATACGTTTCTGTCTGTCGCCATACGTGTCGTACAGGTGTTCGATCCAACTGCTCCCCGCGCGCCAATATCATCTCAACAACTTGTTGAGTATCCTTTCTTCGGGCTCGAAGCTTTCAGCTTTCGAAGTTTCGAGGCACGCTCGATCGAGCACCGAAATATCAACGGCTGGCGAAACAGAAGCCGGTCGTCGTTCAGGATGCAACCTGCTGAGTGGATTCCCCGCTTATTCTAGCGCGAAAATCCCACGGCAACGTCCCTCTCGGGTCGTTGTTTCTCGATCACACGCGAGACGCGAGAGACGTGTACATCGCCGGTGCACGCGCGATGTACGCCTCGATTGACACCCTCCGCAATTTTGCCGAACGGTTTGCCGGATCAATATTTACGCGAAGTAGCAGCAGTAGCAGCAGCAGCTTTGCGAGAGAGACACGAAGAAGGAAACAGTGGACAGGATGTGATACATCGCGCCACGGCCGGCATGAAATATCACAATGACAAAACGAACGAACGAACGAATGAACGAAAAGAGGAGGGGGGAGGGCTCTGTTCTAATTAATTTTTAATTGCCGCGCTATCCTCCGCGTTCCTGTCCTCCACGTTCTTCTCCCTCGTGCACGCCATTTCTGACCCGAATAGACACGCACACGGGACGCGCAATTATTCCGTTTGATGGAGGACGAGGATTCTCGCGACATTTTGTAAAGGAAAGAAACAACCTTCTCGGGTTTTTGATGCTTTTCAATTTTACATCAAGACTGCCAGTCTCGACGAACGACAAAGTCAATCGAATGTTAATGATAAGTCTAGTTGAAACGAACGCGTGAAGTTGGACATTTTAAAAGTCTCGATTCTGAGATTGAAATAATATTGAAATGTCCTGACAACTGTATTTAATAACTTCATCCTGAATCTTTTTCTGCGACAAAGATGGTCTTTCTTCTTTTTTTTTTTTTTTTTTTTTAATTTAAGTTTTGGAAACCTTATTCAAGCTAACTACAAAATAAGAATATAATAATGTTTGTATTGTTATATTGAATATAATTGAATATATTGAATTATTGAATAAATATATATATATAATATTATATATATTAATATTTTATAATATAATGTAATTAATATTAATTTATAATATATATAATATGGTATTATATTATATTGAATTACTGAATATGTAATTGAATATATTAAATATATTAAATTATATAATTTTAGTTATATTGAATATAATAATGTTTTTGTAGTTAGGTTACAGGTTTGAATATAATAATGATTTTGTAGTTAGATTATTAAAGGTTACAGTCTTTAAGGAAAATGTAGACGCAGTAAAAGGCCAGCATATCTGGTTAAGCAATTATTACGTCGATCTAGAGGAACAAGAATAATTTGTACTTGCTGTATTTCTTAATAAGATTTCCCCTTCGGGGAAAAATCAAAGAAAAGAAAAAGATGGTCTTTCTTGATGAAAAATATTTTCCAAACAATTATGCAGTACACATTATACAGTGCATTAAAATACAGTGTGCTGATCGTTGCAACGCGGTGAAAACCAACGAGACCTGTATGCATCGCGGAATCCCGACGAAAGAGAAACGCGGTCGCGGCATGCCGAGACAAATGGTGCAATAAATTTGCAATTACAAAAAGAAAAAATAAACGCATTTGCAACACGCATGACGCACGTGACCAGCGTATGCACAGCCTCACGTATGTAGATACACGCGTATTGATCACGTTCGGGGTTTTGAATCGCACGCACGCGTCACGTGTTTGCCGTGCATTGCCACGATCGCCACGTGAACCTTCGACTGTTTTTGGATTTCTCACGGATTCACGAATCGTCTGAATCACGGTGAACCTAACCGCCAGAGTTTAACCAGTAGAATTCGACGTGATCGGGTAGAAAAGTTTTTTTTTTCTCTTTGAATACTGTCATCGAGTTTCCGGGAGAGGGAGGATGCAAGGCGATACTTCTGAAACCTTGAACGACAGCCTCAAACGACATTTTCTCACTTTGACGCGATTTCGAATGACCTTTCTCTTTGACGCCAACCTCGGCTGACCTTTCGGGCTTTGATGCAACCTCAGCTGACATTCGATAGATTCGATTCGATATAAAATGACCTTTTGTCTGTTTGTTCGAACTACTGGAACTATCAAGGTCCAAAAGAAAATAAGGCATCTTTCCAATACTTTATAATGGGCTGTACATGCTTTTACTTGTATATTTCGCGAGAGAAATTATTTAACCACTTGCGCTGGCAACTGATTGCGGACCATAACGAGTGACCGAACCGTATACAATAATTCGTCTTTTTTTTTTTTAATTCATCGGTATATCACTGGATAGAAATTATCGAAAAGTAATAAATTTATTATTTGTTTTCCCTATTTTGTTTTATTTAAATATACTTGAAACTGAGAAAATATTACAATTTTGGAATAAAAAATTCTCGACGTGCGTGGCACGTCATTGCAGCGCAAGAG